TCGAAAGATTAACTTGTAATAAATTTAATAGAATTTTAAAATGAAAAAAAAAAAAAGGAAAACTACTACTCTCTTGACCCAAGGTTAGAAAACTGGTCTTATTCACCAACCAAAACTGTAGTTAAGTGCATTCACATAACTATAATTCGTAATACGGTATCATACTCGAAAGGTAGAACCGATTTTCGTCGTGTCTCGTGACTTGGATTACAGTGGCGAGAGGTGCTGGTGCTCGTACGATTTCTTAAAGACAAGAGTTAAGAAGAAGAAGAAGAAGGAGAGGAAGATAGTAACTGTTAGAGGAAGAGGTGAGGTGAAGGGGTTGCCGAGGGATAAAGGGAAGAAAGAAGAGAGGAGGAGAGGAGGAGAAGGGGAGGGCTATGTACAAGGAATTCATGAATACGAGATTGCACTCGGAGAGCCCCGGGTAAATGGCTTGCTGTGGATGCTGGCTACTCTTCTTCTTCTTCTTCTTCTTCTTCTTGGGTTGAAAGACTTAGTTCAGAGAAAGAGAAAAAGAAAAGAAAAAAAAGCAAAAAAAAAAAAGGATTTAAAAAGAGAACTTTTAACATATCTTTCTCCCTCATATACATACAAACATATACACAGAGACAGACTTACATAGTTAAGGGTGTTTTGTTCATTCTTACTTCCTTTTAGGAAAGAAAAAGTGTAGCTAATGATCGATTAAAATGAAGTAGTCATTTAACACAACCCAAGTGTTCAATGTTTAGTATAATTTGTCTATTTCCTTCTTTCCTAAGTCAGGCCATTTGAAAATGGCTCGAGGTAATGCAATAGGACATGATTGGCTAATGTTAGTAAGAAATTATTGTAATGACTTCGATACAATAATACAAATCAGACACTTTTTCCTTTAAGCTCTCTTCTCTTTTCTATTCAATCCAAACGAGATAATATTCTGTTTGCGTGTTTCTATATAAAATATAGGTATATATCCGGTTGTTGTAAATCATTTCTTGATATTTTTTTATTTCTAAAGTTCTTCTTCAATGTAATTGGACTTAACTTTGTCGGAATTAGTGGAATTGACTTCTTCGAAAAATATCATTTCAAAGTATCTTCCTTCAGGGGATATGTGAAGATTAATATGCAACACGATCTTTAATAAAAAAAAATGCACATAATACTATTGTATCTTTGTATAAATAAAATAATAAATTAATTTGTTGAGTTAATTGAAATAAATTGAAAGAGTATCTTCCCCCTTCAGGGTGAAAGTGGAATTAATATGCAACCCAATCTTAAATAAAAATAATTCATACTATTATTTACAATCCACATAATATTAAATGACACTGTATCTTTGTATAAATGAAATAATATATTTAATTGGTTGTGTTGATTTAAATAAAATTCAGTTGTATGTTAAAAGTTGAGTTATTCAAAGAGAAAAGATCATCGATCGATCGATCGATCGATCGATCTCCATTCGATCTAGATATCCTCGTTGATCGATTAGGATGCTGAGGATAGAAATAAAAGAGAAAGAATGCTTGAAAGAATGACACATACATTTGTTCGATGTCTACTCAGCAAAAGGATTTGCTTATCCTGACAGTAAAGATCGTTTGTTCTTCCTCGCAAACTGTCCTTCTCCCCCTTTTCCATCATTTTATTATGTTGCAGTATTTCTCTTAGTTATACAGTACACTCTCTCCTACTATTACTACTACTACTACTACATTGAATAATTTYAAAGAATAAACGAACGAATCGATTCGTAAGCATTGATCATGGTCACGTACAACCAACCACGTGTATACAAGTTCTTAAATACGAGCTTTAGATCATCCCGCGATCGTTGAAAGCAAACATGAAACACACTAACGAATACAACTGAGTATAATAAATTGTTAGTTAATTGTACACAGATATATATATATATATATATATATATATATATATACTACTCTCATGTATTTTATGATTTATGACGTATACATTAATAAAAAAAAAAAAAAAGAAAAGTTTTCTTGTTAACGAAACAAACATTTCATTTTAAAGGTTCATAGTTGACATCAAATTGTCACAAAATTATTCTACAATTTCAAATCACACACATATATCTTTTTTTTTTTTTTTTTTTTTTAATTAAAAATACACGAGTCAAAGTATTATAGAAAATCTAATGAACAATTTCTCTTGAGATGTTTCATTTAAAAAATTTACCAATTGTTGAATAGTTTAAAAAAACATTTATCTTATTGTTTAGAATGAAAAGAAACAAACCAAGAATGGAAATCAATGGTGCATTGTTTCAATTAACATTGTAAGGATAAAATTAAATTAACAAAGTGAAATAATAATCTAAATCACGATATATGGGTGTAGGTACGTTTGTTTGTCACACGTCGTTGACCATATTTTATGGTTGTTGATTACTTTGAACTTCCTTGAAAAAGTATTCTTAACGCTTACTGACGAACTATAAAAGCGTAACTATTAAATAAAATAATGCGAGTTCCGGGTGGTAATTAAACAAAAAATCATTTCAATCATTTTCCTTAATCTGATTCTAATTAAAACAAGAAAATAATTAAATCAACTTTATGTTAACAATTATGAAGAAAATAACAAGATAACAACACATCCTATATTCTATCAAAAAAAAAAAAAATAGTTGAATGCAAGTAAAAGTGCAGGACACACTTTTTATTTACGGGGGTAAACAAAAACAAAAAAAAACAAAAAATTCCCTATAGAAATAATCTAAAAGAACGATGAGAGAGATCTAAGGTGAAGGATGATCCAGGTTCACGATCATGGATCACAATGATCTTACACCCACGTATTACGCTCGAGGCTGAAACTTTCAAGATACAACAACAACTTCTACACACGATGGATTATTTATCCTCAAAGAGATACACACACACACACACACAAAGAAATCTTAAGTATATTCGTACTTTGTAGGATAGAAATAGAGAAGAAGGTAATACATACGCGTCAATGTGTACCGGTGCTAGGTACCGGTAATGCTCCTTGCACGGTTCCGGTCTGCACTTCTACTAACATATTTTAGTTGTGTTGTACGTTGTTATATCGAAATACGTGTACATTGATGGAGACCAGCCATTGTGTAATGATAAAGGATACCACAATTGCGAAGGTAATAACGTTATCGTTATCTGTCCTCAGATATTGATAGCTCGATAATAATATTCGTGTTAGAATCATGCTATTCCTATTTATGCTTTTATCTTTTTTTTTTTATTTATTTATTTATTTCTTTCTTTCTTTCTTACGAGCTAATATTTGAACGATAAATATTCTCTATGTACATTATATTCTTATCAATCCTGATAAACGAGTTAATGTCGTAATAAAATATCTCTTTTTTAAGTGAAAAACTTCTTTAGAATGAGTGTTGATTTGAAAAAATGTAACGGAGCGGTAACCGGGCGGCGATGTAACGGAGCGGTAGGCGGCGGTGTAACAAAACAACGGGCGTCTATGAAACGGTTAAGATATTAAATAAGAATAAAAAAAGAGATGATTCGTATGTACGTATGAATCAATACCTATATAAACTGATCAATAATTTTGTTCCAATTATTTAAAATAAAAATATATGTATGAAAGAGTTATTATTAAATTAATCGTTTCAATCAAATAATACTGCATTTAATTTTCAAAATTTTCATATATATATATATTATACATGTAAGTGAAATGTTATATTTATAATTAAAATATATTTCATCGATTATTAAATTATTATTTCAATTAAATTGAATAAATATTTATATAATCGATAAAATTCATATATTTGACGAATTAATATTTAATATTGAATGAAGTAGAATTGTTGAATTAAAATGCAGTATTAAAAATAGTAATAGTAATAGTAATAGCAGCAGCAGCAGCAGTTATAGGAAACCTTTCGTTTACCTCTCTCAAATGAAACTGAAAGTCAGCACGAAGCAAGACGGTAGGAAAATAGGACGAGTCAACACTGTGTTTGACCTCGATCGAGGACACACACTCGCGTTCTCGAAGTCTTACGAGTACTATAACAACCACAAGTATAGTAAATAAGAGAGACGACGTGTTTTAACATATTCTGACGTAATCAATAAGAAAAAAGAAAACTTTTTCCTACCAATGATAAAACAAACGACACTTTTTTCTTTTCTTATTTCGTCTTTACGAAAGAAAAACATTTGAGTGAACCATATTATTTCTTATTTATATTTTTGTTCATGCTTTATATTCGAATATGGATCTTCTTAAATCTATGGAGAGTAGTAGAGGTAAGGAGTAACATCTCTTATGGGAAGTGAAAAAGTGTCCAACGTTTTCTATAAATAACAGTTCAAAAATCTTCCAAAAGTGGCACTGGTGAACTTAGAAGGTATGGTATGAATGTAGCAATTGTAAACGAATTAAAGTATGCCGGAGTTATGTAATAATGTACTAAATATAACCTTAATATACAGAGATGTTACTCCTTACCTTTACTCTCCATAGTCTTCTTAAATAAAAAATAAAAAAAATAAAACATTTAAGACTTCATTATGCTAATAGCATGCAAGGTTTCATTATTTCTATCTATCAATAGGTTGTTTTAAATTGAAATATGCATAGACACATGTTGAATATACATGTATATGTAAAAATGTATGTAATACCAATTCGTACATTGATAATAATATGTAATTTTGTATTTACATATTAATGTACGAATGAGTTGTTAATTTTAAATCAAATTACAAATTTGTATGAATTGTAATAATCTGACAAATCTAATATCACTGTAAAAAAAAAAAAACAAAAAAAAACATCATCTACTAACATCAGTTCATGCGTAGTATATCAAAATGTTGTGTGTGTATAATAATTAAATATAATAATCATACACACGTTGTAATAATAATGAAAATAAAATAAAATATAAAAAAAAATAATAAAAGAAAGAGAAGAGGGATGATAAAATAATTTGTCGCATGCTATTAGTAATAGTGAAGACGTACCCTGTACCAAGTGGCCACCTGCGAGACGCATCGAAAGGGGTTGGAGAAGCGATGTTTAATCCGTACAACGGAGGGTGTAGGTAGGTGGTGGTGGTCGAATCAGGCCCGTTTTTGTGTAATATATATATAGATATATATATTTTTTGGTATATTTTTTTTTTATTGGTTTTGGCAGACGTGTGTCACGCAGTACACGAGGGAGATACGTGGTCCCAACACACATATAGACGAGAGCACAGGTGAAGTAGTAGTAGAAGTAGAAGTAGAAGTAGTAGTAGTAGTAGTGGTAGTAGGTGATGGTGTAGTAGTAGTAGTAGTAGTAGTAGTAGTAGTAGTAGTAGTGGTGGTGGTGGTGGGTGTGGTAATGTGTTCACAGGCCCCGTGAAAGCGAGGCAAAAGCAAAAACAACAAACAACAAACAACAACACCACAGGTCAGAAAATAAATTAATAATTATTTATGTATGAATAATATTATACTTCGCAAATTGAATAATAGTGCATATATATATTTACGTTATTTCAAATAGTAGTGTAGTGACTAAAAAATATTGTATATATGTATAGATATTATATTTTATAGATATATATATATATTTTGTTAATTAAATTCAAATGATATATTATAATTATGTATACATATATAAAATATTTGATTATGGTGAATATGCGTGTGTAAGGGAACCACGTGACGAGTTCGAAGAATTTCATTTATTAAAAATAGCTTTGTTAATGAAAATATATTAAATAATAATTAATGTGCATCGATCATCCAATGGATGACACAAATTTGGATCAGCGTGATAGCAACGTATCATTAAACTGCAAATGTTGCAAAAAAAAAAATAAAAACAAATTGATGGTAAAGATAAAATGCAAATTTTGACATGATATAATTTGAAATAATAGACAAAGAAAGAAAAAAAGATATTCAAGAAAAGCATCGAACTCGTGTTCATGGTGTTATATATACTAAATATATAATGCGGATTATTTTCAAAGCAGAGTTTTTTTTTATCGAAGAAATGAAACGTGAACGAGCATCGATTATTTCATACAATTAAACCTCTCACGCGTGATTTTCTCTCTGTCACCTTTTTATTATCGAGTTTTAAAATCATTTAACTTGAATAAGCCGATTATCAAAAAAAAAAAAAAAAGAAAAAGAAAATAAAAAGAAAAATCGAAGGAACGAAAATGACAACATCATCCCTTTCCATTTTTTTTCTTTTTTTTTTTTTTTTATCAAAGAAAGTATATTTTAGAAAACTTTGACCTCGACATTTATGGGTCGAACAAACTTTAAGCAAAAAATTAATAAAAAAAACCCGTGAGAGGATTAAGATGAAACGATGGTGGTTGGTGGTGGTAAAGGGAGGGGGGGTTTTGTTTGAAGAAATTATTCCACTTTTAAGCTGATATAAATTTTGGAGCTGAACAACAAATGGAACAAATTTTCTAAAGGGATACAAGCTGCTTAATGTTTTTTTCTTATGTTTTTTTTTTTCTTTTTTTTTATTATATATATATATATATGTGGGAGGTAAACCATAAGATTATTATTATTATGGGGCTTTTGGTGCTGTACCTCCTATGTCCACGGAAGGCAAGCATGTGAGGACAGAAAAGACGTAACGCGTGAAAATCGTTGACAAAGAGGAATCATCAATCAAAAATAATTATAATGACAAGTAAAAAAAAGAAAAAAAAAATAGAAAAAATGAAAAATGAAAAATGAAAGATCGACGATTGAATAGAAAAATATTTCTAAACATACTTATATATATAGAAATATATTAAACTAAATGATGATCGAAGGGATTACTGTGGTCAAACTCTGATACGCAGGTCAAATTTATTCTTAGGACAATTGACAGAACAACAAATTGTTCAATTTTTTAAGTTTGCTGTTTAAAAAAAAAAAAACAGAAATTCGGATTCTGCATAGAGCAAAGTGACTTTCAGTAAACCCCACGAGGGCTTGGTACCAATAATAAAAACTAAAAGGAAACAAAAAATTGTATGGGATTTGAAAAAGAAGAGAAAGAGAAGGGGGTTAAAAAGAAAAGAAGAAAAAAGAAAAGAAATGAAAAGGAAAGACATACACAGGATGATTCCCTGCATATCCACGAGTCGTGGAACTCGTTATTACTCCCGCTGGCGGTGGTTAATTTCGCGCTCTCTGCAATTTCTCGAAATCGGCATGTAAAGTGCGCACAGCCCTTGCCAGTGATACAACATTGTATGCGCGCGCGCGAGTTTCTATTACAAGCGGATGAGCTATAGGTTTTAATAAGAACATCCTTGAAAATAAAACAACAAAATTTTCTACAAAAAAAAAAAAAAAAAAACCTCAAAGTATCTGACATCCTACTCCCATTTATGATTCTTCTTCTTCTTTTCGTTTGATTTTTTTTGTTAAATATATAAAAGATCTTTTCTTTCAACAGCTTCCTCTGATCGATAACGATCATGACTCTAGAAGAAAGATATTATGACGAAGAAAATGGGATGATCAAGTTAGTAAAAAATGATTTTATATATTAGCCAAGTTCATTTCAAGAACATTCTTATACATTATCTTCCTGATAGAAAAGTTAGCTTGGTGGTTTCTTAAAGATGATGAACCCCTTTTTTTGCAGGTTAATAAAAAAAAAAAACGTTAAGATATCGAGAAGGGAATAAGGATAGTTCTTACCTTGGGTAAAGATGCCAGACATTGTTGCTTCACGTCCCAGACAAGCTGATCCTTAGGAAATTGAAGACACTTGCTAACGTAGAGTTCCGGTACGTGAACCCTAGCAAGAAGTACACCTTCCTCGACTGGTCCAGCCTCTGATACTGCAACACCACTGGCATCTTGATTCTGTTGCTGAGCTTGACCTTGGGATTGGCCAGCAACAGTGGCCTGAGGACTGGCCAATTGTGATTGACCTGAACAAACGTTTCCTGTAGCCTGTTGCTGCTGTTGCTGCTGTTGTTGTTGCTGCTGCTGCTGCTGCTGTTGCTGCTGAGATTGTTGATTCGGTCCCGCCTCCATTGCGAGGACCTTCAGACGATTCCACGGTCACGGAATCACATCTGAAATTATCGAATAACCCTAACCTTTAGTTATACGAATTTTAAATATTCCTTGAATCAAAGGAATGAGGAAAGGTTCAAAGATCATTTTCTATTTCTAAACTATGAAGTTAGAAAAAGAGATATACACGTTAAGAAGCGTGTAAACGCCATAAATGAAAGAGAGGAATCAAATTATATAACAATTTATAAGTAATAGTTCAATACTTTAATAGATGTTGATTATGGTATGCGGAAATGGTAGAGAATGCAACGCAAAGTTAAACGATAGAAAATCCAAAGTTTTTCCCATGATCAGTGGGATCTCTTTTTCATGGAATGAACCCAAATAACACGAGTGGACTATCAATATCATATTTGTGTGTGTATGTGTGTGACAGTAAGTGAGATGAAATAAAAATAAATACATAAGAAACGCATAAGGAATTAAACGATCCCACCCTATGAATATTACAATCATGATAAAAATGGACAATGGTTATTACCTATCTCCTTCTTACACACTTAGGTATACTTACACATACAAAGAAATAGGAATAAAGACGTAAACGAGGCGATGTTGAGCTGTGCTATACGGGCCATTAGCTAAGACCAGACGCATATCCCATGTGAGATAGAATGAGGGACAAGGAAAAGGGAATATTCCTAGGTCCCATATTATAAGAATCAGAGAGAGAGCGAGCGAGAGAGAGAGAGAGAAAGTGTGAGGGAGATGAGTGTCACAAGACCGGAACTATAATCGTATAGTTGTCACTTTTGGTATGCAGATGGAAGAGTAGAACTGTGAAGTAAAAGGTAAAAGGTGCTATTGCAGTTGAAAAGAGGAAAATCTGAGTACTTTGTATTTTTTTTTTTTTTTGTACATTTACTCTCAATAACCCATTTATACTTTCCAAGTCTTTTTATTATCATTGTCCTGTTCCTTTCTTTTTTAAGGGTAGTAATACGGGTAGTTATTATCACATCGGTTAGGTAGCAGCACTCTAAGTAACACATTTTCATAAATTAATTATAACATATGCAAAATCCTAACGAGTTTCAAGTTTTCGTAATGTACCTGTTATCTCTGTGTTAACGTCGATAGTTATCTTCCTTTTTATTATACACCTACGTATCTACCTTTACACGTGTTTGCTTATATGAGAACTTATCGAAAAGATGTTTAAACTATGATAAAAATAAGGATAATGATATTAGGGTTCGTATGTGTGTTCGTGTGTGGGAGAAAGAGAAAAAGAGAGAAAGAGAGAGAGAGAGAGAGAGGGAATGTCAGGGCCGTCCCTTAACCTTTGTCGTCCTTCGAACATCCTCCTCCCTCAACAAATGTCGTTGTCCTCTTACCAAGAAAACCTTACATAGCCTTGAACAATCTTTTTCAACAGTTTTAATTACGTTCGAATTAAGCTTACAGCCTGTTTAAAACAACGCCCACGCGAATTGCAAACTACCTGCCATTTCAAATCCTCAGGATCGTATCAAGACAATTATTTTTTTTCTCTCTATTCTATCAGCCATGTATAAAAACCCACCCCCTCCCCCCAACCCCCATAAAATGAAGTTAGAGATTGGTGTTAAGATCTCACACGATACCATTCGAGTTTCTATCAAAAATTGCAAATATTTTTCTCAATTGTATAAGGGTTGCCATCAAGATGTTAGTAGGGGGAATTTAAAATTGTCTAAAATAAATGTTGAAAAATTCGTCTATCTTTTTCATGTTCGTTTAAAGAAATAAATTTTGTAGATGATAAAATATAAATGTGGTTTGGGTGCTGAGATGGAATATGGATACGGCCCTGCTTAGGGTGTCCAGACAGAAAAATCGCAAAGTCTCTCTCCTCTCTCTCTCTCTCTCTCTCTTGCTATACTCGATGAGAGTAGTGTGCCACGAATAAGGGCCACCATAAAGACGGGTCATAAAACTATGATTTACTGCTTGTCATTGATGCGTTTGCTGTCCGTCCGTTAAGATCCTTCTCTCCAGTTCATCATCGTCTCCTGGGTTCGTTCCCTCTTATTATCTTTCTTATAACTCTTTCTTCTTTTGCATTCAACCTTCCTCGCGAAAAAAAAAATAAATAAATAAAAAATAACAAAAATAAAAGATAAGATTAAAACAATAATCGATTTCGTATTTAAATGTCAACTAATATCATTTGTAACACCATTTGTTTAACAAATTATTTTTCTTTAGATTGAGAAATACAAAAAAAAAGAAAGAAAATGTTTAATTCCTTAGGTTCCCCAGGTACTTTAGGTTTAATACTGAAACCTTTGCAAAGGTTTGTCCTTGAGTAGGCTTCTCGCAAGGGCTTCTTCATTCTTCATGCATTGTCCTCCAAGCATAAGTCATACATACATACACGTGCATACATGAAAATATATATATATATACATATATATGGGATGTGGTCAGTGGGTTATTTAAAGTTTTAACGCAGTCAGAACTCATGGCAAGAAGAAGAAGAAGAAGAAGAAGAAGAAGACGGTCGTGTTTAATGGTGTCTGCGGTTTCCCATCAAACTTCTCTCTCTCATAGTGTGTACCTGACATCTCGCACTTACCTTCTATATATTTTCTCTCTCTTTCTATTCTACTTGGTTCATGTATCGCCCTGCGGGAGTCTTTTAACCGATCTTCACCCTCTTCTTCTTCTTCTTCTTCTTCTTCTACTTCTACTACTTCTACTTCTTCTTTTGGTTGCATTCAAATCGAATCTTTTGCTGCTTGGATATCCGTAAATTGATTTTTCTCGCTTTCCTCACTCTACCTTCGTTTATTACCACTACCAACAACCGGTTGGCCCTGCTGAACCTTTTAAAAACCCTCTCTCTCTCTATCTTTCTTCAAAGTTATTACCTATCACGTATACATCAAATATTCTCTTGCGAATTTTCGTACTTTTCAGGTAAACGATAAGAGAAATATTGGATGATAAATAATTGATCGAATCGAATAAAATGTTTGCTTCCATGTTGGTTTTTTTTTCTTTTACAGTAACAAATATATTTGATGATGAATTATTGATCGAATCGAGTTAAACCAGCCGTGTACTTTTTTTTTTTTAATGTTGTCTAGTAGAAAATATTGTTAATATAACCCCCTGCTAAACGATTCTAATAATATTAATAATAATAATAATAATAATAATAATAATAATGTTGTAGGAGTAACAGACAGGAAAGTTGAAAGGAAATAGTAGTTTGTTCACGCACAGGGAAGACGAGTTTGTAATAGTTACGGTGACATATGTTACGCACGTGTAACGAGTTGGCTATAATTACGAACGAATGGAAAATACTGTTGCACACTAACAACTCCGTGTATGTTGCATTGCATTGTTGCATTGTGTTACTTGCATATATTCTCTTGGTCTTTCTTTCGAATTCACTAATGGACTCTAACATAATTGTAGAACACTCGGAAGTAAGTAATAAAAAAAAAAAAAATAAATAAAAAAATACATTGACAAAAAAAGAAACAATCAATCTCATTGAATAATTTTTCTTTTATCCATCATATAAACATTCTAACGATTTGTTTAATTTTTTTCTCTCTTTCTTTTTTTTTTTCATTGAAAATGTCTGTTGTTAAACAACCACAAGTTTGCTCTCTCTTTCTCTTTCATTTTTTTTTTTTTAAATACTGGAATACAAAGAGGCTTCTCAGACGAAAGGTACACAAAGGTACAGGTAACTTACACCAACAGGAAATTCCCCATACCTTGGTCATCCGTTTTAGCACCTGTAACTACTACACGTTTAACACAATGCATGCATGCATGCATGCATAGACCCACCAAAAAAAAAAAATAAAAAACAGACTAGCTGTTGTCGATATGCAGCAGTAAAAAAAAAAAAACACAAAAAAAAAAAATATCAGAAAAGTAATAATAAATTCATCGTGTAAGCATTACGAAAGCAGTCGATGTATAAATAAACGAGGTCCTTTCGTGTTCTCTCTATCTTCATAAATAACTAATAGTCTTGTCTACGGGCTCACATATATACAACACACAAGCAAATACATCCCACATACATATATACCCACCCCCCCCCCACGTCGTATCGATTTCATTCGAAGCTTTACGTTTGACTTTAAAAGCTAAGTCTACGTTAATAAGAGAAATAAAAGAAGAAAATAAAAAAGAAGAAGTAAGTTTGCAATTGGTTATTTTTTTTTTTTTTTTTTTTTTCAATGTGAACACACCATAGAAAAAGTAAGAGAGAGAGAGAGATAGAGAGAGAGAGAGATGGTAGACAAACCTTGGTGAGATTCATTTGAATTTTTCATCCAACCAACCCCCTCCCCCTCCTTCCCACCTCCCCCATGCCATGCACAGACAAAAAAAGTTTCTCCAGACGCTAGTAAACTTCGTGTGCAAGCATACCTACATATGTGTGTGTATGACTATGTAGAAAGAAAATTGATGAGGGTGTAGAAGAAGAAGATGGAAGGAAGGAAGGAAGGAAGGAAGGAAGAAGAAAAGTGTACGCCGCGTCTGTCTTGATCGCTCTGCGAAACTCATATAAAGATCTTTAGAGCTATGTGTGGTGTGTGGTTCACGTATGTCTGGTAAAAAGGGACAGAGAAAGGAAGAAAAGAGTGAGAAAGGGATAGAGGAGGGGGGGTAAGGTGAGGAACAAAAAAGGAACTTCGTCGTGTCGCGAGAGGGACGAAAGAATAACAAGCTGCATCACCCCCTTCCACCCTCCCTCGACTCCTCTCAGCCCTTCATCTCTCCCTTTTCTCACGTCGATAACTTCCCTTTAAGGGTTGCAGCCATTCTCAAGGGAATGAGCTTTCGTTTCTTCACACATGTACCATTAATATATCTCTCTCTCTTTATTTCTTTTTCTCCCCCCCCTCCCGTTCACTTTTAATATTACTCATAACTAAAATGTGTTTTTTTTGTCAGTTTTAAAGACAATCGTTCGATAAATCATTTGATTATTATTATTATTATTATTATTATTATTATTTATATATGTATATTATTGCAATGATCTTAGTTGACATATGAATAATATTCAACACGACGTTAATCGTTATCCTATCGGGTATATCATCTGCATGAACAAGCAACCGGACCATATTCAGAACACTATGAACATGAGTGAACGTGGGTGATCAGGATTGTCGTATGAATATTTGATGGGCTGATCTCCAAAGTAGCGTATGTGTATATACACTACTATAGTTACCTAACTGTATGCTCTATCTGTTCTAAGACATTTTATGAGCCCCAATATAGCAAAAGATTTATACACCTAATCTATATTTCATATTTTATCCTCTGTACAATAATTTAAAATGAGAAGACACCTATGTGCAATTAACTTCGATAATTAAATAAATAATAAAATAGTTCAAATGTATGTACACCAAGGTGACAATATTGAAAAGAAAAAGAAAAACCACGAAGATTGTTAAAATGAAAAACTGCGAGAGAATAATTTGATATTACAAAAAAAAAAAGAAAAAAAGGATTAAAAAGTGAATGACACGTCGAAGCACGTGTCGATGCCATTTACTGAGAGAGACTTACCCCACAAACGTTCAACGACCTCTGCAGCAGCTCAACCCTCCACCCAGGTTAACACACGATATCACCAACAGCACGGTCAGCCATTGCCAAAAACAACCCCCGGAAGTTGCACACACAGGACCCCCTCCCAAAATGCACCAACAACGCCGCCAAGGAGAGAGAGAGAGAGAGAGAGAGTGAGAGAGAGAGGATTGGGAGAAGAGATGAAAGAGAGAGGGTGGTGAGCATGTACCGGCTGTAGCAAGATGGCGACGATATCAACCCTTCTTCTTCATCTTCATCTTCTTCTTCTTCTTCTTCTTCGAGTAAGATAAATTACGTACTTGTATATACTTTCAGTTTAGTATTCTTCTTGCACACTTTCTCCCTCTCTCACACCCTTTCCCTTTCTTCTTAATCTTTTTCCTTGGTTTGCATATGACGTATATATGCGTATATTGTATACCTAAATCTGTATACGTGTATATATATACATATATATAATTCTCGATAAAGTAAGAAAAAAGTACAGATAGCAGGAAGAAGAGAAGAACGCGAGTACCCAGCACCGTGGGGGTGCATCGCACGACTACACGACTACACCTTTTGATAAGGGTGCTGCTCGATGGTGGCGCCATCGTCGCAACCACCACCAAAGCTGGCCGGATGTCGGTCGCCTGGCAACCAGGAGAGATCGACCGACCATCCTCCAACCAACCCCTCCTGCAACCCCTCCTCCTTTAACGCGCCTTCCCGCCTACGAGACGCTCTTCCTAACCCCCTCCTGCCAACAACCCCCTGTGTGCCAACCACCTACTATCATCATCCCCCGTTACTCATTTTTAACCCAACTTCGTTCATTTCGTTTCGTATTGCAATACGAAATCAGTTTTGACCAAACTGCGTTTCAAGGTTTATATTGATGAATTAAAGGATTTCATTCCTTATTGAAATTTCAAATGATCAATCTCCAATTCCTAATTGATATCATCCCCTTGTGTCAGATCTTTCAACGAACATTTGATTGTACTAATTAGAGACAACCTGGTGGTATTGATTAACAATATCAGCTAAGAGTAGATAGGCTATGATAAAATATTCAAATGTTCATTAAAAATGTAAGAGGATATAATTTTAGCACGCTAGCGCATTAATTCGATATCCAAAGTTCGAACTTCTTAATTTAATTCTATGAGTTATCCTAATCGACGTTGAAGAGAGAGAGAGAGAGAGAGAGAGAGAGAGAGAGAATTATTAATATCCCATGAGTTTTAACATCGCTACGGATAAAAAAGGAAAATTATATGCACTTCGATTCTCACGAATGAAACAAAAAAAAACAAAAAATACATAAGACAATAATCCATTGGGGTTCAATCATTTATTAATTGTGACAGGTATTCATTGATATTGCATGTGAACTATATTTAGAAACATAATTGTACAATGTGTACATTGAGAAAACACAGGGTGTAAAATATTTGTGTTCATCTCGTAAAAAAAGAAAAAAAAGGAGGTTAAAAATGTTAAGAAAAAAATAGGTGGGGGTAAAAAAGAGAGACAGAGAATCTTTAGAAATAACGAAGGTAATCCTCTTTGGTATCTCGAATCGATTTAAACTCGAGGGAGGGGGGGAACACTTTGATGGTATCAAAACGATTGCTCTTCTCTTAAAGCAAGACAAAATATTGACTCGATATTTACTTCTAATTTCAATATTTATCCCAACCCCAACCCCCTTGAAAAATTTTCTAATAGCACTTTATTGATCAGACAATAGGAAATATTTTTCCAACCCCCCCCCCCTCCTCTTTGTATTTCAATACAAACTCTGAACGAGTTTTGTGATCGGATCAAGTAACGCATATTAGGAAAACTAGTTGGAATAAATGAAAGGTAAAGCAGTAAAGTGGTATTAATAGTAGTAATAGTAGTAGTAGTAGTAGTAGCAGTATTTAGGTGTGCTCGTTATCACACGGAAACTGGGCAAAATCCAGTCGGCTGTAGAGTAGTACTGGGTTAAATCGAGTTACCAAACGCGATTGAATTAACGCGTTTGTAACTTTGTCTCGTCGTTTACCAATTCATTCCTAATTTCCGAATGAATGATAAACCCTTTCGAAATCAGAAATGAAAAAGATTTACAGAACAATGAAGGGTTGAACGAATTAAGAAAGAAACATATATATATATATGTAAGGGTACAGTATACTTGTAAAGTATTACAAGTTAAAAAATAAAATCCTCTAAAAGGGAACACTCGAACAACACTGAGTGTTTGGTGTTCTATCACCTCCTCCTCTTCCTACCCACTCACTCTCTTATTCTCTAAATATACCTATATTTGTCCTTTCCCTTTAACAGCAATATGTCAGAGGCTTTTAGCTACCCCTAGGTGCTTAGAGAAACCCCCCACCCCCACACCCCCCTAAAGTTTCAACCATAAAGCAGTGAGAAGTTTCTCTCTATCTCTCTCGATTTTGTGTTGACTCCTTCACCCTTCAAAACTAAAAGTACTTGACATAGTCATCGATCAAAAGTCCACAAATTTTCTTTAACTATAATAATATAAACCCATATATATATATAAACAAAAAAAAACCCAAAAGAGTTAAATAAATTACACGAATTAAATGTAAACCAAAAAAAAAAAAGTATTTCAAGTTGAGGAAAAAAGTGTGCACCCTCAATAGGGCGAATGCAATTCTGAGGACAACCTTTCAGAATTGAAACTTGAGTTCTTGGAAGTACTTAAAGAAGAAGAAGAAGAAGAAGAAGAAGAAGAAAAAAAGGGCAGGAAGGTTACTACTACTACTACTACTTTTTCAACAGAACAACGAGAAATAAGGGGGATAAGAGGGGTGAACAAAAATCGCCTACGAACATGAATCCTTTTGTCCTGAATTCTTTAGGGATATTTCCATTCACCCCTTTTTTTTCTCTTCCTCTTTCTCTTTCTCTTTCTTATTGCAAGAAAAAGGGGTAGATAGCAAAAGCTCGACAGTAGTAATTGGCATTCGACATACGCATATATCCTTGTTAATGAAAGGAGACGAGAGTGAGTCCTTCTGCCTAATATCCTCGATACTGGATCTTCCCTAAAATACTCCTACTACTACCATTCCTAACGACCCTTTCAAACTAACTACCAAAATCTATTATTACAGTGATCTTTAACTCTACTCTGAGCCTACCAATTTATCACTCGAAAGTTAACGCTAAATGTATTATCTTTCCAGGATCCTTTTAATTAATACACCCTGTCCTATCACAAAAAAGAAACGAATAGAAAAATGAAGGGATGGTAGACAGTTGGAAAATGAGATGTCACAAAAATTCAATGACGATCTGAAACGTAATAAAACAAAAAAAAAAAAAGAAGAAAATGAAATGACGATGATGGCGTACGCTACGTCGCTGGTGTCAGCGATAGGAATAAGAGAATAAAATATAAAAAAAAAAAAAAAAGAAAGGGAAGATTCTTTTTAAAAGAACACCCCAACCAATCTCCCATTCGATAATATCTTTGTGAAAAGTGACGCTTGTAACAGACGCGACATTCAACATCCGTTTTCAACGTAGCACCACAAAGCACGGATATCACCAGAGACAGCTCTTTTAGGGTGGGAAGAAGATCGGAAGGTTGGTAGGAAGGGGGAGATCGGTAAAAAAAAAAAAGAAAAAAGTAGGTGCAAGGTCCTTTCAGATTAGATCGTGTCCAATTTAGTTCGTTCGAGGTTTGACCTCGATTGCTGTGCTAGCCATCTCTCTCCAGGGCTCCCTCTCTCCGCTTTTTAATTCTAACCTAACGTGCAGGATGTGACACTCAACAATCCCCCACAACCCCTCTCTCTCTTCTCTTCTTTTTTTCTTCTTATCTTTCATCAATATCGTTATAGTTAAACGGGAAACTATTGAAATAATGATTTATTTACAAAGATTATGAATAAAATTTCAAAGTGGCTCGTTTTGATGACATTGATAAGATTTTAGGAAAGGGTCAATTAAATCAAGCAGTGCAAGATTGAAAATCTAATCGAAGTCTAAATGGTTGTGTGTCTCAAAGGATTCGATCAAGTTCCATGGGCCAGTTCAGAGTCAAGCTTACTGATCAGGGTGGTGTCGACGAAACCCCATTAATTTAGGAACCTCAGTGGGGGTTTACTAAGGGTGAAGGTTTTGCCAGAGTCAAAGGAAACTACTCTCCCTCCTTTTAAGCAGTATGTGACGTCTATTTGACGTTTGATCGATTTCCATCAGTCTTCTTCTTCTTCTTCGGAAAACAACCCTTCGAGGGTTTCCTAGCGTTGACGTGGTAAAACAATGCCGAGTGCTATTACTTACGTATAATTAATGCACCTCCGTTTCAATAATACGAGTAATTAAGATTTCTAATGATTTGCGTTGCATAATTGACTCTCTCTCTCTCTCTCTCATTCACGTGCTATATAATTCAATTTAATGAAATAAGTGGAGGATGATAAGTTGTTTTAAAAGTCAAGATCTCATTCGTTTGATGTTAAATTACCAAGTAAAACGATTCTTCCCACGAAATAATGACGATGATCCTCAATGATCCCCGACAACAACAATAACAACAACAACTCGGTTGTTCAAGTTCCGGAACGATGATCAAGTAAGTGTGACCAACACTTTATTTTTCTCTTGAGTTTAATTCCTTTTTTTTTTATTCTAACTTTAAAATAACACAGACAAGAAATATGACACTTAATCAAATCATTTTTGGTTAAATATATGATATATTATCCAAATAATATAATAAATGGGTTGAACAACGAGTTTTGCTACTTGTCCTCGGGTGATATCAAATCAGAAGGACGGACAGTTTTCTAATGAAAATTCAAATGAGAGGGAAGGTGGATTTTACCTGGACGTATGTCAACTTGTCTTTGAGGAGTGCTCATTATTTACCAGTCAAGAAGATCCATCCTTTTTTTTTTTGTTTGTTCTTTTTTGCATCTAAATTCTTTTCGATAAAACTACTACTACTACTACTCTAAAGAAGGGAGAGGTCTCATTACATTTAGTTGTTGTCGATCTATCTAAGAATATTTTTGCATGATTTTCTACTTTCTTCTATGGAACATTAGAAGTTCCTAATTATTTATGAAAATAAGGAAGGTAAATCAGTTTGAACGTCCTCGTTAGCGTAACATCAAACTTAGTAATTTCTTTAAAGAAAACTTTTCTCCAGTACCAACCCAACCCTCTCTCCCCTACCCTCCCTTCTACCCTTTCTTCCTCCTTTTCCAATTGTTAGACAATGGAAAGAATGTTGAGAGCGTAAGAGTAATTCACACCGAGGTGGTGGTAGTAGTAGTAGTACAACCGAGGTTACTCCATAGAGTTTCTTCTATGGGAAAAGAGAGGCCAGGAAATCCCACGTAAGACAGGAAGGAATATCCTGTAAAGGAAGTAAGACAAAGAGACAGACGGACATAGAGAAAGAGAAATAGATTTAAGGAAGTCCCTTCACTGTAACACCTAAGTTCTAACTTTCCAGTGTGTCAGTTTAGACAACTACCAACCTACACTCTTTCTACGTTCGCCTACA